TCTGCTACCTCCTCCAGATCATGTTCACTCATCCACGGGCTTAAGCCCACCAGATGTCATATGCAATGATTTCCCCGGTCTCTCTTTCCATCTATTCGACCTGTGAGTATCAGATTCTCCAGGCCCTCCTTTCTCATGATGTGTCCCAGAAATTTCAGCTGCCTCTTACTGATGTTAAGTACAAACCGCGAACTGAATATATAAGATATGTGTGTGTCCGTGTGTTTGTAAATTCTGTAATAAATTCTCTAATGCAGTATATATATATATATATTATGAAATGGACAAATTCCGACAATTATTTAATTTTTTTATGTTTATACGTTCTTTATATGGATGCAAATATTTAAGTAAATGCTTTGTTCATAATAAACAGTATTAACAACATTTACCGGCCTGAATGTCTGAGAAATTTACATAGAAATAGATACCTGTCGGAGTATGCACATTTTCTATTAAGATTTCTCGGACATTCAGGCCGGTAAATGTTGTTAATACTGTTTATTATAAACAGAGAATTTACTTAAATATTTGTATCTATGAAAAGAAAGTATAAACATAATATATATAGGTCTGATGAATTAGATCGTAATTACGATTCCAATGTAATAAATTATAACCATGGAATATTAGTGGTTGATCCTTACATATATATATATATATTTATTAAAGTCATTTTAATGTTTAACGTTCTTTTTTATAGATACAAGTATTTAAGTAAATGCTATGTTTATAATAAACAGTATTAAATAACATTTACCGGCCTGAATGTCCGAGAAATTTTCATAGAAAACATTCGTCCTTTGACAGGATTCGAACCTGCATCCTATACGGAACCTCCATTACGCTGACGTGCCTAACCTCTCGGCCACAAAGGAGCGTTCGGTAGACATGGTAAATTATAAACAGCAAATTCGACCTTGCCTACCATATTATAAACAGAGCATTTACTTAAATACTTGTATCTATAAAAAAGAACGTAAAACATAAAAATGTCTTTAATAAATAAATTGTCGGACTTTGTCCATTCCTTGATATATATATATATATATATATATATATATATATATATATATATATATATATATATATATATATATATATATGGACATTTCTCCGATTTAACCAGTAGAGAAGACAATATTTATGAATAAAATGACAGACAATAGAAAATCTGGTAATTGCTGACGCGTTTCGTCCAATGTGGACATTCTCAAAGCAAAATACGAAAATGAAATTAAATGAATAAAGTAACTCATAAAAACAAAAACTAGGTACATTCTGCTCGATGTTACCGTAAGTTCTAACCTAACTGTTTCTTCTTTTGCATTTACTGTTTATGGAACTCACTTCCGGCTTCATTCGTTTCTGTCCAAAATTTAATGCAATTTCAATAGCTATCCTCGGTCTTAAATCATGTCCTTTTATAGTCTTCTTTTCTTAATAGTATATATTTCTGATATTCTCTAACACGAAGTAACTACTTGCGTCTTAGGGGCTTTATTACCCAGCTTTGGGTGGATTTTTTTTTTTTTTTTTGATTTTTATATTTAGTCATCAAGCAGTCGCTATTATTTTAAACGTTATTTTTAGTGGATATACGTATTTTTTAGACGTTCCGTTTATTTATTAAATAACATATTACCGCCTGAATATTCGAGATGTGTGTGTGCGCGCGCGCGTGCGTGTGTTTGTGTGTGTGTGCGTTGGTGTGTTTGTGCGCGTGTGTGTGTGCGTGTATTTCTTCGCAAGAAGTCTTCAAAATCTGTAATAATTTATTTTCCAAAGATTGTTTACATTTATGCTAGCAATTTTCATTTGATGAAGCATTAGGAATCAAAGATTTTTCAGCCATTTCTGCTATTTGCCTTTGGCTATATAACCTTTCGAATTCCGTGCACCTTGACGCTTCTGCCTTTCATATTGAAAGTGTTCCTCCTGTCGAATGTGAGCGCATGCGTGATTCATCTCGTTTGTATTCTCGTTCTTGAAAAAGAAGTCACGGATATTCACGTGAGGTCTGGCGTTTCATTCCTTGCGGAACGGCGCTACAACTGTGTATTGTTTTGCATTTTAAAGACCGCACAGTTACGTGAATAGCCGACCTGATACATGACGCACAGCCTAAGGACGAATGGACATAATCAGGCAATGGCGAATCTGGCTTAACACGTATTTTCCGCCATCTTTTTCTCGTTGTAATCCCTTTTCATTCCATCATATTTTTCTTACTGTTCCATTTCTTCAATTCAACCTTTCACTGATATCAGGAATATAAATTTACTGCATTTTGTTGCATTGAATTTAATTTATTTCTAATACAAGCGCATGTATCTGAACAGATTCTGAAATAGAATCACTTAAATAGCCCAGAATAATTGATTATGCTTCATGTGATCAAAAGATATGGGGAGCTTATCACTTGCACCAAAGTATATTAAAACGGGATCAACAAATAACACCACACGAGTTATTGATATGAATTGAAACAGGGAGTTCATATATATATATATATATATATATATATATATATATATATATATATATATTTATAAAATTTGTAACTTCCCTAGTCCGTACGCCACAGCCTCTAAAGTAGCCATACATTTTCGATCGAAACCAGATTTTGAGGAGAAATGCAAACAGGTTCACTTGTTTTTATTATGGTGGGTAGGTTAGTACAAAAAGGTGTTCATTAATTTCTTTTGGAAAAATTAGAAGTTTTATTCTTTAACATAGAAAATACTCCCACTTTTTATATAAAAAATAATCTGATGCTTAAAATAACAGATACTTATTTAATAAAAATGCACTATTGTTTTATGCTCAAGAGTGAAAAAAATATTTACGCATGGCCAGTTGTATGTTGCATCCTCAAGAGTAAGAAATGTTAAAATTTTGTTCTTCGCTGTTAAAAAGCAAAAAAAATATATATTCTTAAAAACATTGTTTAACATGAAGTCCAATAAAATAAAATTAAATTAAAGAAATTATTAAAAAGCAAAGTAAGTTTTTTGTCGATTAAATAAAACAATTCGGAAATTTGAAAAAAAAAATGAAAATTTCGATCTAAACAAATTGTCGATATTATTCAAACAAACATGATTGCTGCAAAAAACGGTAAATTTATTCTTACAGATTTATCTTTCTGAATAAATTTACCTTGGATAAAATTCTTGAATATTTATGACCTTGAATAAACTAGTAGGCATCTAACCCGACGGCACTACTATTTATTCCTGTCTCAATAGTTAATCTGGTATCGCTGACAAAACTAACCTGGCTGTTGGTCTCGAAAATGACCTCCAATCTGTGGTTCACTTGGCGTAGGAAATGGATTGTAAACTTTAAGGCTTTCAAAACGAAACTGCTCTCATTTACACACCACTGAGAACCCTTCCTGTCACTCATCAGGATGGCTGATAACCAACTCCACGAGAGCGCCCTCTCTGTGTCTACTTGGTTTCACACTGTCTGCTGATCTGTGGTAGAACAAACACATTCAAACAGTAGCTCGAAGAAAAGATAGATCCCTCTATCGAACCAGAGCGTTTTTCTCGCTTGAGTCAATCCTTCAATTTTATAAATCAGCCATTCATCCTTGCATGTAATACTGTTGCAATATATGGTCCGGTGCCCCCGCTGTTACGTCTCGAGGTTCTAGACAAAATCCAGAGACGGATGTGCAATATGATGGGTCATCATCTGGCACCTCGTCTATAGTCACTCTCTAACAGATGTGCTGTGGCTTCCCTGTGTCTCTTCTACATGTATTTTCGCGGCAACTGCTCCGAAGAGCTACTTTCGCTAGTTCACAGACTGCGTGAATTTAAGCATGCTACTAGGTTGACATCACGGTCAGCATACTTTCACTCTCAAACAGATTAAATAAAGCCGTTACTTCTACTCCAACAGCTTCTTATCTCGCACTTCCCGTCTGTGAAACTCCCTTACTTGCTTCCCTGATAGCTATGATGTTCAAATATTCAAATATAACGTCAATCGACATCTTCCGATGCCTTGCACCTGATCAACGTCCTTCTGTTTATCCTTTACTCAAACACCACCCTTACTCTCATTCTCTGTAACCCCTTGCATGCTAGTGGCACTCCTGGCTTGTTTGGGGTGTAATCCTTAAAAAAAAAATACACCTTATATACAGGGTGCTCAATCAAAAACAGTAAATTGATTATTAGAGTTTTATCTTTCAGGGCTAATTGACCTTGAAAAAATTTCTTGAATATTCATAACTTTCAATAAACATTCATCATTCGTGCAGTTACTTAATTTTGATTGGTCCCTTTATGATTGATTAATCGTTACTCGATCTTGTGAATCGTCATTTAAAGAGTATTTGCAGATAACTTTCGTCTTTTGTTCTGCACTTCTTGTATGGCTAAGCAACTCACTGATTTTGATCTTCACGTGTTCGTACATTACAAATATGCAGAAATTCATTATGAATTTTTGAGTGACATCAATCGTCACCAGTTTTCAACAGCTGTCACATCTTTCTAAATTTAGCTCTATTTTACTGGGTACTATGCACACACACACACACACACACACACACACACACACACACACACACACACACACACACACACACACACACAACATATATATATCCAAATTTACCACATTCGAACAGCTATTTCAACCAACAAGTCCGATGTTGGCATTGTCAACTTCTGAGCTGCAATGCCAACGTAGGACTTGTGGATTGAAATAGCTATTCGAATGAGTCAAATTTGGATTTCTATCCTAGGTAATATATATATATATATATATATATATATATGTTTAAAGACTTGTTTGCTGGTACCAAATTGTATGGCCGACATTAAAAACAAATGTTTATTTTTTATCTAGGCGTGTGTAGAAATTGTAAGAAAATAGAGCGTATTTACACACACAAACACACACATGCGCGTATATATATATATATATATATATATATATATAGAGAGAGAGAGAGAAAAAGACAGGAGGAAAACCTTATGTCAACGCGTCCGGCTATTGTAGAAATTGAATGAAATATACATCATATTTACATACAACCACACACACACACACACACAAAATAAACTGTATATACAACTACAAAACAGTTTCCCTGGGGGAATATCGTTTATGGTCCAATTTTTTAATTAGAAACAACTATTATTAAGGCATAAAGGGAAACTACATTGTGGAATGGCGTAATCTTTTCGCACATTAAACGAATGTTAATTTATTTTGTCGTGATAGCTATTGATATTTTATGTAACTTTTTAATATCCTTTTATTTGATATATTCTTTTATTTATTTTGTTTATCGTCATATGATAATATTGGCTTGAGAAAGAAGCATTTCTTTTAAGAAAAGAAACATTTGAATATAATCAAATATAATAATTTGAATATAATCAAGTTCATATTATTTTAAAAACCAATAATTTCACTTTCTAAAGATTCGTCTAAGCAAGCATCGTTGAATTTATTAGTACGTATAGCAAATCCTGTGGATTAATTGGTATGTAGGAGATCCTATATATATATATATATATATATATATATATATATATATATATATATATATAGTGAACATTTAAATCAACACTCAGAGGCGATAGGGCGTTTTATGATAGACGCAATTATCAGGCCGATTGCGTCTAGCATGAAACGGTCTAAACGTCGTGAATATGGCAACGAAGATGAGGACAACATTCCGAACAATGTAAATAGTGTAAATAATTAAAATACCTCATCTCAGAAATATAGACATAAATAGTAGAAGGCCGGGCGTACAACGGTCTAAACGTCGTGAATATGGCAACGAAGATGAGGACAACAGTCCGAACAATGTAAATAGTGTAAATAATTAAAATACCTCATCTCAGAAATATAGACATAAATAGTAGAAGGCCGGAGCGTACAACGGTCTAAACGTCGTGAATATGGCAACGAAGATGAGGACAACATTCCGAACAATATAAATAGTGTAAATAATTAATAACAAAACACCCTGAATATGGCAATACAACTACAATTCCTCATCTCATCTGATGTGTCCTTGAGATTTAAATAAATAATACGAACGTTCCTTGTATAACGAGAAAAAAAAGATGTTTACACGTATAATCTTCCTTAGTGAAGATTTGCAAATGACGGAAATGTTACCCGCAACGAAAGGTTACAAAATACAAAAAATCTTGTACTTAATCAGTGTTTATGTTGGGGGTTAGGTATGGGTGAGTGCGAAACGAAACGAAACACAACGAAACGAAACACAGTTTTTTACAAACATTGCTTTCCTTAATTAAGTCGTACCATTCAGTCAGTCGTGCGAGTCTCGTGCTGATAACCTTCTAGAAGCATAAACGATTTTAGAAGACAATCTTATTTCTAGAATAATAAAAAAAATGGGATGGCTAGTTGGGACAAAGTGCCCTGCTAGGAATTTTATTTGTAAATTTGCAATTTAAGCCCCGCTAATGTTAAGGGGTCCACCCGTTTTTATACAAGTGAACTCGCCTAGTGTGTGCTTGTACTGCTGCCGGTTAATAAACTGGAGTGAGAGAGTGAGAGTGTGAGGTAACCGTTTTGTAGGAGTCACAGTTGCGAGCACGTAGACTCAGAAGGAAGTCCTACTTCGATACTGAATTTCCCAGACTATATATTATTATTGCTACTAACCGCATTTCTGGATCTACTAACCGTATTACCAATTGTATTATTACGTCAATACATTTATATTTCATTCCTGCGTTTGTCATTCATTTGAGACCGGATTTACTCCCGGAATCCACAACATTTAATTAATTTCGGAAATAACATTAATCGTTTGCGAAATTCTACCGTTTAGGAATTATCGGCAATAAAAGTTTGGACTCATTCGTATCGTGACTATAGCCCGGCAGCCATTACTAGCATATGTTTGCCTCGAGAAGTCATGCGCGGAAGTTTCAATTGTTTTGATTATTGCGCAAGTAATTCGCAAATTATTGCACGAAATTTAAAAAATGTTAGAAAGGTATGAATAATAAAATTCTAGAAAGGGGGCTTAATAATAAAATCAACACTTGTCATTGATTTCCTAAATAACTTTTTTTTTTTTTTTTAAATTCAATAAAAACTTCGCTTTCAAAAGTGTCTAAAGTTTTCTTTTGGTTTTGTGCAATAATTGAAACGTCTATTAACTAAGTAAGCTTCCAAGCGTGACTTCACGAAGCAAATGAATGTAAACAACGCTATTAATGGCGAACAGACCCAACACGAATATGGCCGAAATTTTATTGTCAATAACGCAAAAATAATTATTTTCGAAATAAGCATACAAATTTACAACGAAATGGAAATTTTCAGGAAATTTTAATGAACATTTGGTGTTCGGCGCTTAAACTGCAAATTTATCAGTTTATTTCCTCGCACTCCCCGCCCGTAAAAATCCTTTCCGTTTACTTGCTTCGCTGATAAATACAATCTTAAAAAATGTAAATGCAACGTCAATCACCATCTCCAGTCTTCTTGGATCCCGTTCATCTTTTGTCCTTTCCTCAATCGTCCCTATACGCAGTCCTTTCCCTCACTTTCACTCCCTGTAGCCCCACTCCCTGCGTATTAGTGGCATTCTCGCCTTGCTTGTGGTGAAATTATTGAACGACTATACTGAATCAATAGCTGTTTCTAGTGCAAGGAATATAGGCTCACTGTGCCGTGCCAGAAGGTTTTTCACGTCAGAATCCATCTTGCCCATTTACAAATCTATCATTCGTCCGTGCATTGAATACTGTTGCCATATCTGGTCTGGTGATCCTGCTTTTCATTTCGAGGTTCGCGACAAAATCCAAAGAAGGATCTGCAATGTAATCGATCTTGACATCTCGACATCAATCACTTTCTTACCGACATGTCATAGTTTCCTCTGTCTTTTCTACAAATATTTTCATGGCAACTGCACTGACGAACTTTTAAACCTGGTGCGCCGACTGCATGAATTTAAGCGGGTTACTAGATTGGCATTTAGGTCCCACACTTTTACTGTTTACTTAGTGTTATGGTCCAAGTTCCTTGCACCACGGTGATGGTCCAAGGTTAGAACCAAAGAAAGAATAACACGAACACAGGTATGGAATACAAAGATATATTACAACAGAAATATAATACAAACAAATAGAAGTATTAGTAATGGCTATCAGATTTGGTTAGAGTGAACTATGTTGTCTCGACAAGTATCACTATTTCAATGTCCTTACAAAATGCTCTCAATTATCACTCCTCGTTTTACAATAGTAATTTTCCAAGCGTAGCTCAGATGTGGCACAAGGCCGAAAGTATGGAGCACCCAGTGAGGATCGAACTCACTACACAGTCGTAATAGTTCTAGCGAGACAAGCTCGCTAACCATTACACCACCCGAGGTGCCCCCCTCGTCTTACAATAATGATTTACCAAGCGTAGCTTAGATGTGGCACAAGGCCGAAAGTAAGGGGCACCCAGTGAGGATCGAACATATTGATTTTCCCAGCGTAGCTTAGATGTGTCACAAGGCTGAAAGTATGGGGCACCTCGTGAGGATCGAACTCACTATTCAATTGTAATTGCTCTTGCGAGACAAGCTTGCTAACCATTACACCACCCCGAGGTGACCCCGAGGTGACCCCTCGTCTTACAATATAATGATTTACCAAGCGTAGCTCATATGTGGCACAAGGCCGAAATTATTACTCACTAGTCAGTCATAATTGTGCTAGCAAGGCAAGCTTTCTAACCATTACACCACGTCGAGGTGCCCTTGATTTGCTAAGCCCGGCTTAGATCTGGCACAAGGCCGAAAGTATGGGGCATCCAGTGAGGATCGAACTCACTTTTCAGTAGTAACTGATCTAGCAAGACAAGCTTGCTAACCATTACACCACGCCGAGGTGACCCATCGTCTTACAATATCTGCTCATACCTCTTGAGAGGCGCAGTATTTATAATGTCAGGAATAGTTCATTATTATTATGGGGAAGTTCCCATAACACTTAGTTAAATGTAAATTTCTACGTCAACAGTTTTTTTCTTGGGCTTCCCGCCGTTGGCAATCACTTCCGTTTATTTTTTACCCTGATAATTTACTGAGATAGATAGATAGATAGATAGATAGATAGATTACACCATCTATCTATCTATCTATCTATCTATCTATCTATCTATCTATCTATCTATCTATCTCAGTCTGTCCATTATCTATCTATCTTCAAAAAATGAAATGGAACCTCAATTGCCATCTTCTAGTTCCTTGAAAATCATTTCAGATTTTATGCTTTCTTCTGTCCCTCCTATACGCAATCTTTTCTCTGATTTTTACTCGCTGTAAACCCCTGCCTACTTGTGGCATACTCGCTTTGCTTGGGGTTAAACAAATAAAAAGAAATTCGTGATTATACTGAGTTTTCTAAAATCACTTTATCTCGTGACATTTTTATTGATTAATTTTAACTTCTCTGAAAACGAGTTTTATTCATAAGAATAGTTTTTTGACGTACGGAGAAAGTTTTTTTTTATTTATATATTTTGGCTACAGCAAATGGATATAGAGTTTGTTCAACGGCGTAGGCAGATCCAGCAGTACATAAGCTAATTTTGTATGTTATGTTTGATGAGATCATCTTAAAATTAGCTTCAAAATTAGGTCTTCAAAAGTCGCATCTTCAAAAGTCGTTATCTATCTATCTATCTATCTATCTATCTATGTCCATCTGTTCATTATCTATCTATCTATCTATTTATCTATCTATCTATGTCAATCTATCTATCTATCTATCTCAGCCTGTTCATATCTATCTACATATATATATATATTATCTGTTCAAAAATGTTAGTCTATCTATCTATCTATCTATCTATCTATCTATCTATCTATCTATCTATCTATCTATTTTTTGCTGTTTCCATGTATGTATTTATCTACATTTGTCAGGATGTTCATATTGTTCATATATATCTACCTATCTATCTAATCTATGTTTGTTTGTCTCAGTCTGTTCATTATCTATTCATCTATCTAGCTAGCTAGCTAGCTATGTCAATCTGTCCAGTTTCTATCTATCTATCTATCTATCTATCTATCTATCTATCTATCTCAGTTTGTCCATTATCTATTCATCTATCTATCTATCTATCTATCTATCTATGTCAATCTGTCCATTATCTATCTATCTATCTATCTATCTATCTATCTATCTATCTATCTATCTATCTATACACACACACACACACACATATATATATATATATATATATATATATATATATATATATATATATATATATATGTTAGTCTGTCTATCTATCTATCTCTCTATCAATTTTTTTGTTTTTCCATGTATGTATTTATCTACATTTGTCAGGCTGTTCATATTGTTCATATATATCTACCTATCTATTTAATCTATGTTTTTTTGTCTCAGTCTGTTCGTTATCTATCTATCTATCTATCTATCTATCTATCTATCTATCACAATCACGTGACATTTTTATTGATTAATTTAAACTTCTCTGAAAACGAGTATTATTCATAAAAATAGTTTTTTGACGTACGAAGAGGTTTTTTTTTTAATATTTAGCGTTAAGTTTTAACGTGATTTTTAAATAGGTTAATGCATTCTTTCTGCACAGAACCTCGATTTATAACAATCAAGATCAGGACAGTTGTCGGATAAGATTAATGTATAATCTATATAATTCATCAGCTAGTTTGTATGCACGATTTTATACTTTCTTTCCGTTCGATATTGAATGCGGAGCAGGTCGTCTCCAAATATTTTAACTTGTTTTTACCGTTGGATCAAGACTGTCAAATGCTGATAGTTCATATATATATATATATATATATATATATATATATATATATATATATATGTGTGTGTGTGTGTGTGTGTGTGTGTGTGTGTGTGTGTTATGGTCTGGTTCCTTGTACCCACGGTGATAGTCCAAAGTAGGACCAATAAAGAAGAACTCGAACATAGTTATAGAATAACACAGATATATTACAAACAGGAATATATACAGAGAAGTAGAAAGTGATAGTATGAACAATCAGGTTTAGTAGAGAGAACAATGCAGTCTCGACCAGTATCACTATTCCAAGGTCTTGCACTAATTGTCTGAACACGACTCTGTTTCGGACTGCCTCTGACTCGACTCTTTACTCGACTTGAACTATTGACTCACACTTGCCTACTCCTGAGGCGCAGTATTTATTAAGTATGGAATAGTCCATTATTATTATTATGGGCAAGAACCCATAACAATATATATATATATATATATATATATATATATATATATATATATATATATATATATATATATATATATATAAATGGAGGCTGTGGAGAACAGCTTGTTCATATATACCTATGAGTTAAAAGTCCTTGTTTAGCCAGTGGGCAATCATAATATATATTAGATTACTGACCAAGAATCTAAGTAATTATTTTCTTTTTGCGAGAAGAAAGGACATAATGCAATAGGGGACAAATCAGGAACACTACTCGGGCATTTTAAGGCCGAAAGGAGGAATAATAATAATAATAATAATAATAATAATATGATTACACATCAAAAATCATACGAAATAAAATAATAATAATAATAATAATAATAACTGGTATGAACACCACCCAGACCCGGTTACGGAGATAGGACCTGTTACAATTGTATGGGACTACACAATACACACTGACAGAACAATCAAGGCCAACCGGCCAGATATTGTTATTAAAGACCACAAACAAAAACGGTGCCTCCTTATTGATATGGCAGTCCCTGCTGACTGCAATGTATCTTTGAAGATATTCAAAAAGTTGTTAAAGTACAAGGACCTTGAAATAGAAATCTCGAAAATGTGGCATATGGGAACATCAACAATCCCTGTTGTAGTTGGAGCCATAGAACTGGTTGGAAAAGATTGCAGTAGAATAATTGAAGGGATTCCTGGAAGTCCATGCCTCAAGTAGATACAAAAAATTGTTCTGACACGTACAGCCCATACCTTACGAAAGGCTTTATCTATGTAATTTAATTTTCATTTTTTTTTTTTTTTTGTCAGTGAAAAGTGTCATGACGCCATTTCTAACCTTAGGCCCCTGGGCGGGACCCGGAAAGAAATGGGTAAACGACAGAAATCAAAGAAAATAATAATAATAATATTAATATGAGTACACATCAAAAATCAAAGAAAATAATAATAATAATAATAATAATAATATGAGTACACATCAAAAAACAAACAAAATAATAATAATAATAATAATAATAATAATAAAGGATGGAACTAAGCCGAAATGCAGAATCTGCAGAAAATATGATGAAACTTTCAACCATATTATCTAAGGAAGTCCGGAACTGGCAAGAAATAAATATACCCACAGACATAAAAAGGTAGTGCGATATGTGCACGGGAAGATATGCAAGAAGCACAAAATCGAAACCAATGAGAAATGGTAATGGCAAAAACCATAGATAGTTACTCCAAATAATGATGTAACTATCCTCTGGGATATGCCATTTCAACCTGGAAAGGGAAATAAAAGAGAACAAACCTGATATTGTCATAAAAGCAAGGAATTCAGGAAGTGTATGCATATTGACATAACAGTAGAATCTAAAAGAAACGGCTGCATGAAAATTGCCCAAATACAAGGACCTGGAGATCAACATTAACAGGATGTGGGGAATAAAGACTGAGACTGTGCCAATAGTAATCGGAACACTGGGCCTCGTATGATAAGGAATGGACAGTTCGATAAAAGTGAATCACCTGATTTTTTTTTACTAAATGTTCTCTTCTCCGATGAAACGAAAGTTGAGCTAAATTCAAAGGATAAGCGATCTAAAATCCGAAGAAGAAGCTTTGAAAACTCTTTGAATTTAGCAGTAAATATTGTCAAGCATCCGTTCAGAATAATGTTCTGGGAATGCTTTTCTTGTCATGGAACTAGTTTCTTAAAACCTATTGAAAAGACCCTCATGAACGAACAGTACAAGAGAATTTTAGAGCCGTGTCTGCTCCCTTCTGCTGAAAGGGTGCAAATCGACACCACCAAGCTCATTTTTATGCAGGATAATGTTTCTGTCACAAATACAAATTGACGAAGGAATACTTTGATGAGAAGCAGGTGAGTGTTATATGGCCGCACCAATCTCCTTACCTCAACCCCATAGAAAACTTATGGAGCATTATAAAGTACAGGCTCTTGAGAACGCAGTTGAGCAACATGTTCCATAACGGAGATAGAACCTGTTAAAATTCTATGGGACTACACAATACACACTGACAGAACAATCAAAGCCAACCGCCCAGACACTGTTATTAAAGACCACAAACAAAAAAAAGTGCCTCCTTATTGATATGGCAGTCCCTGCTGACTGCAATGTACATTTGAAGATATTCAAAAAGCTGTCAAAATACAAGGAACTTGAAATAGAAATCTCGAAAATGTGGCATATAGGAACATCAACAATCACTGTTGTAGTTGGAGCCCTAGGACTTGTTGGAAAAGATTCCAGTAGACTAATTGAAGGGATTCCTGGAAATCCATGCCTCAAAAATTCTTCTGACAAGTACAGCCAACACTTTACGAAGGGCTTTATCTATGTAATTTTTTTTTTTTTTTTTTTTTTGTCAGTGGAAAGTGTCATGATGTCATTTCTAACCTTAGGTCCCTGGGCGGGACCCAGAAAGAAATGTGTAAACGCCAAAAATCAAAGAAAATAAAAATAATAATAATACTATGATCAACTGCTCAGTGGAAAATGTCATAATGCCTATTCTGGCCTTAGGTCCCTGGCCGTGATTCGGAAATAAATGTGAATACACCAGAAGGCGTAGGAAATAAAACAACAACAACAACAACAACAACAACAACAGCAACAACAACAACAACAACAATAATAATAATAATAATAATAATAATAACAATGATTTAACTATCCTCTGAGACATGCCAATTTAAACTGACTGGGAAGTAAAAACCAACTGATTTGAATTGTCATAAAAGACAAGAAATTAAGGAAGTGTATGCTTATTGATATATCAGTACCATCTGAGAGAAACAACTGCATCAAAACTATAGAAAAATTGTTCAAATACAATATTCGGCCATGTGCCACAGGTAACTGCGTGGGCCAGATGTTAGATTTCGTCTAGCTGGAATCTGTTACTCAGATCTTGGCTGTTTTCGAACTCTCTGCCTTCGGGCAGATAGTAACCGGGACGAGGCTATGCCGAAGAGCAGAGTCCCATCCGGACAGCTAGACATACACGACCCGTTTATGCAGGGTTACAGAGAATCTTTGGTCAAGCCTACGGGCTCGGATTGTCCCACATTAAATTCGGTCTTGTGTCATATCCTACCTCCTGAGGAGGCTGGTAAATATTGTCTAGCTGGAATGTAATAGAATTACTTACATTTAAATGTTTTTAAAAAGAAATATAGTCTATTAGTAATTAAGAGTAAAAAATATTTTAAAATTGTAGTTAAATAAAACGTATTCTAACACAAAAAAAAAACTAAAAAGAATCTTTAAGTATACAAGTAAGAAAAAAATGCCGAAAAACTTTTTGCCGTTAATAAAAAAAAAACAACCCAGGCGAGATGCATTTAACGGATGTCAAAATTCGTTGAAAAATACACCCCTACCCTGCCTAAACTTAACCTCTTTTTCGAACGTAACTCATAATTGATACAACAATAGTTAATAAGAATAAACACGCTACCGCCCCTGTCTGAATGATTGGATTTCTCTGAATCCTTGGAAACAGGAAATTATCATTGTTTATATGTGCGTTTAAAACTCAGTAAATTTAAATGTAAGTTATTCCAATATTCGCTTGAGGATGAAATGGAACTAATGTTTTTAATTTAATTACAAAATTAAATTTAAAGTTTTTAGCTTCCATTTTTGAAACATGGTTATTACTGTGTAGCGAAAAAACATATTTTAAATCAGTTAATTTATAATATTTATGCTCTGTAAATTTACATTGAGCACTGTTTTGTAAAAAAATAAAATATCAATAAGAACACCGGATTATATATCTTACTGTTCTTTCTTTCTTTCTTTATATATATATATATATATATATATATATATATATATATATATATTATATTAGCACCCAGTACAAACAGACAAATGTCTCCATATTTCATTTATCGTTTGATTGTGCCAGTGTGTTTGCGAAGAAACACATTTTTTTTTTTAGTTCCGGGTTACTTTCTCAGATGTACGGCGCCTGCAATCTATTATAATTAACTCCGCTTGTTCAATTCGTAACGAAAGCAATGTTCTGGAAATCTTCTCGCAGACATGATTGTACCTACAATAAAGCCATTGTGCACGTAACTAGAAAACAAAACGGATACACCTCCATTACGAGTTCGGACAGATGCCTTTTGATTTGATACAAACATTTCTTCCAATATGTTCTACAACCTACCAGTTAGTCTCTCAGTCGATGCCATTCTAACAGTGTATACTCGAATATCGTGCGGGTTTTTTTTTCCTGATCAGTTTTTTAGTAAACAATATAAGGGATCGTACTCCACACAGGTAATGTTTTTCCTATAGTTGCTAAATTGATGCAAAAAGTACATAAGTAGTGCTAAATAAGATGTTGAATTATACGCGAACACACACAAATATACACACAAAGACACACGAACACACACAAATATACACACAAAGACATGTATGTGTACACACAAACACACACACAGACATATATATATATATATATATATATATATATATATATATATATATATATATATATATATATATTTGCTACATGTGAAAATGATATAATCTTGACACCGAAGTAGAATGAAAATGGCGTATATAAATGTGCTTGGATGTTGAATGTGCAACCTAGACTAAAGCAAGATTATGTACATTGATGTTTATGTATGAACTGATATCGAAAAACCAATACGAAAGAAAATTTCCCACAACTCAAAAATCACACACAATAAGCAAACACAAATAAAGCATAAAAGCTCAGAAATTAACGTTTTTTTCAATTAGACCAGGAAACAGTAGTATTAAAAAGTGATCAATATACGTAAATATCTATCTATCTATCTATCTCTCTCTCCCTCTCTCTCTCTCTATATATATATATATATATATATATATATAAGTAATATATAAATATATATATGAGAAATTAATGGTTTTTAATTAAACCAGGAAACAGTAGTATTAATTGAACAATACAAATATATATATATATATATATATATATATATATATATATATATATATCAGAAATTAACGTTTTTATCAATTAGACCAGGCTAAAGTGATCAATACAAGTAAATTTATATATATATATATATATATATATATATATATATATGAAAGAAATTAATGGTTTTTCAATTAGACCAGGAAACTAGTGTTGAAATGTGATCAATACACGTAAATATATATATACACACACACACACACACACACATATATATATATATATATATATATATATATATATATATATATATATATATATACAAATATATATATATATATTTATATTTGTATATTATATATATATATATATATATTTATACATATAAATAATAAAAAATAATAATAATAATAAAATAAAAATAATAATAATAAAAATAATAATAATAATAAAATAATAATAATAATAATAATAATAATAAAATAATAATAATAATAATAATAATAATAATAATAATAATAGTAATAATGGTCAGAGTTTAAATAGTTCACTAGTAGTAAAAAGTGACCAATACTTGTATAAAAAGAAAAAAAATCATATGTAGAACTTTTAAGTATACAAATTAAGCGAACAGCCGATTCGTTAGGAAATCATTTGACGAAAATCGCCTGAAGATACCGAATGGTTGAAACCAAGTTAACGGATTCGGCTATTGTCTTAATTTTTTATACTTTTTCTATCTATCTATCTATCTATCTATCTATCTATCTATCTATCTATCTATCTTCGTCTAATATATCTATCTATCTGTGTCTTTAAATCATTTAGTTAAAGTTTTGTCTATTTAGATAGTATCCTCTCGTAATTACGGACATTTTCTTTGTATTCTTATTAAAGAAAGAAAGATGCATACTTTTTTATATTAGCACAAAAAAAACAGACAAAAAAAAACAAAAAAAAAATGTGTTCATTTTTCTAAATCTGAAAATGAAATATATATATATTTATATGGAATACAAATATATAAATGAAAATGATATATATATATATATATATATATATATATATATATATATATATATATATATATATATAAAATATATATAAAAAAAAAATATATATGTTTTGAATTTGTAGGTCTGATGAATTGGATCGTATTTACGATTCCAATGGAATAAATTATGACCATGGAATATTAGTGTTTAAGCCTTTTTATTATATATATATATATATATATATATATATATATATATATGTATAGAAAGAGAGAAAGAGAGAGACTGGACGAAACAAATATTCGTACGCATACAATTTTTTAGTTTCTTGTATTTTCAACTAATTCATAAACATACTTTTTTATATAATTAACTGTACACAGATTCATAATAACTAAATATGCAAAGAAAACAGAAAAAATGATTTAATTGAATTAAATCAAATTTATCCATTTTAATGAGTGAAAATTTTTTTAAAGTTTTAATGATTTTTAATGCTGATAACAGACTGAATATGCGCGTACGTGGAAATTTTAAGGTTTTTTTTTATGATTTTTAATAAAGATTTAATGATTTTTAAAGAGAATAATATACTGAATATGTGCGTACGTGGAAGTTTTAATGTTTTTTTTTAATGATTTTTAATATAGTTTTAATGATTTTTAATGAAACACAGACCGAACATCTGAGGACGCGGAAGTTTTAAGCTAGTTAATATTTTATAATTTGCATATAAGTTAAATTTAGACATCTATTAATTCAATATTATCTCCGAGATAATTGGTACATCTGAATGTTTAGGCTAATATTGTGAGCAACGTTCCCTATCTATGGCTTCATGACAAATGAATCATCTCGGCTTTTTTGCCTCGAGTGTAATTTCTTTTCTGTCGGAGATGGTATTGTGTTCACATAGTTCAAAAGCAATTGTATATGCTATTTGTATCTAGTGGTTGTAAAGCCATATACATGAAAACCTATGTTAGAATCACGACACAAGAACCGAGTAATTTCCCCCTTTTATTGCTATAACTCTGAAGCAAATATTGGACAAATTAAACACACGACAATGTTTGGTATTTCCTACGAGTATCAATCACCTCTTTTTCTCTCTCCTTCTATCTGTAGTATCCCTTCGGTACATGGACGATCATGCTGTTCCACAACTTCCCATCCTTTGTAACTTAGTAAGCTTTATAATTTTGCTAGCCTTCTGCATCCGGGTTCTGCAAACCAACTACTTCAGTTTCCGTTCTTTCCCCATACGGTCATTTTTAAACACACTGGAGTGACAGGGTTTAATCGATTTCTAATTTTTCCTCAGATTAGATCATTTGCCGTGATGTGCTGTAACATGAATCTGTTTTCGGGGTGTATGTTGAAATTTTTTTGGCTCTGAAAAATATTGCATCATCCGTGATTGATTCAGATTTTCATCACCCCTAAACACTATTGTCTCGACTGTCGATTAGTTGTCCTATGGCTATTGTCTGCGATGGTACGTTAAGCGTACGAAAATTATAACGCTGCATGAACACAATGGAAAGCCTTACCAGTGAGCAAATCAAAGTACAATTAACTGGCCCGAAAATTCGACTGATTCAAATCCAATCGAGAATCTGTGGTCAGTTTTCGAGGATTGACTTCGGGGAATGGACCTATGGGGCATGTTTCATTAGAAAAAATACGAAGAAAAAAAACTAAATAATAATGGAATTATTCATTTTCTTTCAGTTAATTTGCACAAGAGTGTACGCTTTGCATTTATGCCCTTTTGTGTTCAAACACGCCTTTCTTATCATGTTTACAAGAAATGTCCTTTTTGCTTCCAATTTATTTACAAATTCTACGTTACTCACATGTCCAATTCATTGTATCCTCATTTCCGTTGCTATATGTTTCTTTTTCAATCTGTGAAGCATTCGTCTTACAATTATTTTTCTATTTTCTGTCCTTCTATATGACAATACTTGAAAAGTTATATTTAAAAATAAGTTATATCCAAAAGCAAGTTATATAAGTTACACTTTTAGCCAGCTTTCCCCTGACGATCCGCTTAGATGAAACCTGGGTAGGTTTGCTGGCTCACTAGGTTTGACTATATATATATATATATATATATATATATATATATATATATATATATATATATATATGAGCTACCCCTGAAGATTCGTTTACGAGAAACCTAGGTAGGTTGTTCCTGGCTTTTAGGATTTATTTCATTTATACACACACACACACACACACACACACACACACACACACACACACATACATATATATATATATATATATATATATATATATATATATATATATTATTATTATTATTATTATTATTAATAGAAATCTTATTAGTATAAGAAACTATATATAGAAATGAGTGTAAGACAAGAATTCACCTTCTCACCGGACTTATTCAACCTTTACAATGTGGCGATACTTAGAGAATTAGAAATTCTATTATTGGCGGTAACAATCGTAGCAAAGTAAGATAAGATATGCGCGTGACACAATCTTGATCGAGGAGACAGAAAAGAAGTTACGGAAACGTCTACAGATGGAATTCAAAGAAAGCGAAAAGAAAGAACCAGTTTTATGTTTGTTAGCAAAAGGGACAGTCCAACATACAAATTACATACTGGAGATGTGAAAATCAAGCAAGTACAAGTGGTTCGACGCTCCTCAAAACCTTCTAATCAAAGGCCTTGCTGCCGGATGTAGTTTATCGTCTTACCTAGGACTATCTGGGTATATAAACTAGCTGATTTCATTTAGATTCTTTTCTTTATCTTTATGTTTCCGTCGCATTTGTTATTAAATATTCCACATTATGTCAACAGAATAACTGCGAAGAATTGTGAAACCTGAACGCAGATTTACTCTGGATAAACTAACGAATAAAACACTTTTTTTAAATATTTTCGACTTATTTTAAACATTTTCGTAAATTATTTTCTAATTTAATTAGATTAGCATTTTTAAAATCATAATTGTCTTCAGCCTCGTTACGACGATCAGCTAATGTAGTTAATAAGCTGTTTTTTAAAAGATTCCTTTTGTGTTCATATAATCTTTTATTTAAATTCCTTGCGGTTTCTTCTATGTAATCTTTGTAGCAGTTATTACTGGTGACAGAGTAGATTGTTTAAATTTTTGTTGTGAATATTTTAATATATATAAATAACGGTCCCAGGGGTGTACAGGAGAGGTCACTCTCGTACACCTATAGGCGGATAAGGTAGGGTCTACGTGGCGTACTGGCCAAGGATGTTTGACGGAATATTAGCGTGAATAAAATGTCTCATATTATCATTTAAAATACAATTACCACTTCATTAAATGGCCCTTAGCGTATTTTTTTGGTATTTATTTAATACTAAATCTCTAATATTTGGCATGATTTTGACATATGACGTTACTAATTGAAGGGAGATAACTCTAGTATTGTACAAGGTTTTTATTCCATACGTCTTTTAGATAAATCGATAACCCTCTCCGCATTTTCATTTTCTCTAAGATCGGCGAATAGCTTCTTAAGAAAGATATTGGACATTTCTTCTGACCAGAACTTTTCTAAGACATTTATAATTTGATCATTGGTCCAAGCATCCAATATTGTTGTCACTTCTGCTATGCATTTAGAGATTTTAGATAAGATACAAAGAACAATCTGTGTTATCCATCCTTATCTGGCATCTCGGCTTCAGTCACTTTTTTACCGCCGTATCGTAGCTTACGTGTGCCTTTTCTAAAAATGTTATTATCGTAACTGTTTTGATGAACTTTCATCTTTGTAGGTACACGCCATATATTCGACGAGGCAACAGAGGTATGGTTCTACAGAAGGATGCTAAGAATATAATGTACCAAACATGTAGGCTACTATGATGTTTTGGAGAGGATGCAAGCAAAGGTGAAACTTAAACTTAACATCAGAATGAGGCAGCTGAAATTTCTGGGACACGTCATGAGAAAGGAAGGCTCGGAAAATCTGATACTCACAGGGCGGATAGAGGGAAAGAGGGACAAGGGAAAGCAACGCGTGACATGCTTAACGGGGATAAGCAAGTGGGTAGCAGAAGAGGGTCTGGTAGAAATAACAAAAAGACAAAACGTATTGAGAGCTACAAGGGACAGGAAGAAGTGGAGAGCCATGATTGCCTCCGTCCTGAATGGACAAGGCATATAAAAGAAGAAGCAATGTAAAAATTGTTATAAGTTTAAAAAATAGCGACTCGTTGCTATTTCGACTTGACAATATATTTTCGGAGATATGAGTCACTTTAAGAAAGCAAATAGTGACAGTCCAATTGAGTGGAATACAGCAATATGCGGTTGAGAGAAAATCATTTAGGAAGAGAGAAAGAGGTGGTTAGGGAGAGAGAGAGAGAGAGAGAGAGTATGAGAGAGATAGAGAGAGAATCATTTAGAAAAAGAGAGAAAGAGAAAGAAAAATAAACATAAAACAGATTAAGAGAAAGAGAAAGAGAGAAAAAAAGAGTAATGAAAACAGATTAAGAAATGAGAAAAGAAGAAAAAAGGTTAAGAGAGGAGGAAAGGAAGAAAGTAAGAGAGAGAAAAGTTAAAGACAACGAAAGAGAGAAAAGAGAAGAATGACAGAATAAGAGGGTGTGAAAGAAAGAGAAATGAGTGAGAGAAAGTGAACGAAAAAGAAAATAAGCGGGCGATAAAAAGAGAGAATGAAAGTGAGTATGTGAGCGAGAGAAAAAAAAAGAGAGACTAAAAGAGGGAAAAACAGAAAGTGTACAAGAAAGCGAATGGGAAAAAAGAAAATAAGAAGAAATGTCAGAGGGAAAT